CCACGGCCATGTCCTGGGGTGCAGAACCCGCAGAAGCCCACCGTCAGGACTGCCTCCTGGCCGGGTTGGCCACAGAAGGTACGAGCTCACACCATGGGAGTGTGCAGGGGCCTCCCTGTGGAGGGGACCACCATTGTGAGTGTGCAGGGGGCTCCCTGTGGGAGGGCACCACCTTCTGAAGAGCGTGCTTTCTTTTTTTTTTAAAAAAAGAATTATTATATTTATTTATTTATTTATTTTTCAATTTGACCAGAAAGAGACAAAGACAAAGAGTGAGAAAGCAAGCCACCAAGTCCAGGACTCGAACTGTGGTCGGCCGTGTAAGATTCCAGAGCCTTTAAGCACCACGCCACCCGCCAGCCCTGTTCAGGAAAGCTGCTGTAAACGTCGTGCTTTGCCTCGTCCTTCTCTTCCACGTGATCTGTCTTTTCAGGTTCGAGGCAACTGCCATTACTAAGGGCGTTTGTGTCCCGCAGGTATCGGCGTCACGTGGAGTGGGCGGCAGAGCTCCTGCGCAGACAAGGGCAGGACGAGGACACGGCGCACGGGGTCCTCGAGGGTTACACGGCGCCACTCGCGCTTCCCGGGACGGGAGGGCACGAAGCGGTCCCATTGCACAGCGAAGTGGACTCTGACGTGGCTTCCAGCGCGGACAGGGCAGTGGGCAGAGAGGAGCCTTCGGTGACGAGTGGTGACTCTGGAAAGTCAGAGGGTACAGAGGACCCCAGCAGGGGATCAGACTGCCCGCGGCAGGGCTCTGGGGATGCCCCGCCACCCACAGACGGCTCCCGTGACTGTGCGGCAGGGGACGGCACGCCCCTGCCCCACGGCCATTGCTGCAGACAGGACGCGCTCACCCCCCAGTGTGGGCCTCGGCCCGAGGACGGCGGCCAGCAGGGGGGTCTCACCTGTGCCAGCGAGGAGCCTGAGCACGAGTATGTGCTCGTGGAAGAGGAGGCGTGCGACGGCAGCCCAGACGAGGACGCCCCGAACGAGGAGGTGAGACGACGAGTCGCCTCCTCTCAGACACCTGCTCCGGCTCCTGGAGAGGTGGTCTCACAGCACACAGCAGGCCCACTAGGTACCTGTGTGTGGCCAGCAGTGGCGTGGTGGTTAAGGTGCTGGACTCCCACATGGCGGACTGCAGTTCGAGGCCCAGACCTGACCTGGCGGTTTGCTTTCTCACTGTCCCTCTCTCCCTCTCTGGTGAGCTCTAATAACTCTCTAACAAATTAAAAAGTAATGATGGTGGGGAGGGGGGACCAGCAACTGGCGTAATGGCTATGTTGCTGGACTCCCATGTAGTCAACCATAGTTCAAGTCCCGGACCCAGTGGCTTAAACTCAGGCCAGATGCGTGTGCGTGCCCAAGATCCCGAGAGGAGAATGGAGAAGGGACTGAGGCGTGGCCATCCCCCCGGGGGATGATTTCTCGCTTTCTGTCTCTCTGTCTCTCTCTGTCTCTCTGGCGAGCGCATGCGCCCTATAGCAAAAATAAGTGAATAAATAAAAGACGCAGTCTCTTCCATATCGTGTATCGTGCTTCCGTTCGGTCAGTGCTTTCTTTCTTTCTCCTCAGTTGGTGCAAAAGAAGAGACTCGTATGCAGAAGAAATCCGTACAGGATCTTCGAATACCTGCAGCTCAGTCTAGAAGAGGTACGTCTCCCGCGTGTTGTCATCCAGGAGCTCTGCGGGCTGGGCGGCAGCACGGACAGGAGCCGCCCCCCGTGCAGTTGCCGTGTGGTTCTGCACTGAGTGCCATGTGGACTTCCCGGCCCCGGCCCCCAACACGGAGTGCATTCCCGTGTATACCGTGTCTTTTCTATCAGATAGCTGAGCTTACTACTAAGCAACTAACAGAGCGGGAGTGAGTACAGCCTTGGTCACGCCGGGCAGAGGGGCGCTCCGGTCCCGGGCAGCTCAGAGCAGGGTGGCACGAGTTTTCATCACACGACTTAGGGTGGTGCACAGGTTAAATTTTGCCAATTGTTCATTTCTGGTGTTTGTCTTTTATTATTTTCGGACTGCCATCATCTGGAACTGGAACGGGAAGGGAGCACTGCAGATGATGCGGGGCTGTTAGGATCCTCTGTGACGGCCACAGGCAGCGCCGCAGTGGGCCTGGCCATGCCAGTGGGAGCCAGCTTCTCTCGAGCAGCCCACGGCCGCCACGTAGCAGAGCCAGCCCTGACAGCCTTTCCATTGGCTACATCCCGTGAGGAAAAGCAAATTGAATTGGGTGGAGAATATCCAAAACAAGGAACCAAATGGAAGTCGCCTTTCCTGGGAAGCACTTAACATAGCAGGGGTTAGG